TACAGCTCCCTACATGCCCCTCTGCTCTTTGATGGGCTCCTCAAGGACAATACTTGCAATCAGCAATTATTAATGTCTTTTGAAAAAACAAATGTGCTGCAAGGATCACCATAAAAGCATCCTTATTAAACAGCCACATTCCCCAGGACCATCAGCTGAATTGACAAAGAGAGCCATCACCAACGCTGCATACCACATTATTCATATGAGCAATTTTAGGATCACTAGTGCACACAACCTAATCTTTTTCTTCGCTGGCCTGGGAATGGCATCCTTGTTTTCAGAAGCAAAGGGGATGTGGGAGACTGTCTCACACACACAAACCCCCATCAAATCCTTCATTTTCATACAGTGACATCTGAAGTGGGAGGAAATGAAGACGGCACTCTTTAATTGCATAGTAACTCGTGCAATTGCCTGTGATGGTATTTTTCATCAGCCTCATTGTGCCTAATGCCTCATTGTCCCAGGGATTAAGAAGAATGGCTCTTCTTTGCCCTGAAATCAAGGCAAGATCTTGAACATCCCTGTTTCACTATAACCTCCTTAAAATGCTTCAGCTGACCTTTGCAAGCTCTGTAGCATAGCAATAGCATAATTTATTGCTTGGAGTCTGAATGAATCTCTTTCCAGCCATTATTGTTATTGCTCACAATTTCCATTGTGCTTGGAAAGTACAAACTCCGTAATGCTCCTTATTTTATAGCAGTTGGGGGTGGGGATGATATAGAAAGAGAGTGCCTGACCTTCAGGGTCATTCGGAAAGTTCATGGCTAAGGAAAGAACTGACCACAATGCTTGGTCATGCTGCCCCAAAGAGAAAATGAGGAGCTAGGTATCTTTTTGTATTTGCCACTGACCTCCCACGAGGAAGATCCCCCTCCTCCTTGCGCCAGCGGGAGGTTGGCACCGGGTCCCCTTGTACTTCGCACTGGAAATTCACGGTGTCCTCAGCAAGCACCACCTGGTTTATGGGCCTCTTGATGAAAGTGGGGCGCTCTGTTAGGATCAGAAATGACATTGAGAGGAATACGATGAGAGGAAGAAGGGCTCAAATAATAATAAAAGTTACCTTACATCTCCTTTGTCCGCTCCCCTAAAATATTTTTCCCCATACTGTATTTTTCCCTGCCTGTTCGAAGGCCTGTCTTCAGCACTCCGTTTCCAATCGTTCTCTCCCGCACAAATATTTTCTGTTCCATTTCTATCTCATCCTGAGTTTTTTTAAATTATTTTATCTTGCTCATGTGGCCCGCTCACTGCGATTGTATTTTTGCACTGTTTTATTGTATTCTTATGTTTTATTTACTTTATTGTGATATTTGTTTTGTGTTTTTGGTTTTATTTTGTTGTAATGCACTACTGGGCTTGGCCGCATGTAAGCTGCACTGAGTTCCCTTTGGGGAGATGGTAGCGGGGTATAAATAAAGATTATTATTATTAGTATTATTAGTATTATTAAAACTTTTTTATAGCCCTCCCGATTCTCCCCGAAGGGACTAATTTTATTTATTTATTTATTTCTGGTACTTCTACCCCGCCCTTCTCAACCCTTGGGGGGGGGGGGGGGGGGGGGGACTCAGGGCGGCTTACAAAAAGGCAGGATTTGATGCCTACACAAGATATACATACATACAAACAGCAGTTAAAACAATTAGCAAGTTAAAATAATCAGTACATAACACAACATAACACAATCAGTAAAACTAATCTCATGTTCAGCGTTCAGAGTTCCATAGCTCCATTCCGTTTAGTCAATTCCTGTCCATCGTCAAGTCCTTTCTTTAGCTGCCAGAATGTCCAAATGCCTGGTCCCAAATCCAAGTTTTCAATTTTTTCCTAAAGCTTTCCTAAGGGTAGTTTACATTCTTGCTTTGCTTGACACAGAAGAGATTAATTTGCTCACACCACTCCGAAGCCGGAGCCCCCGCCGGCATAGAATCATAGAATCAAAGAGTTGGAAGAGACCTCATGGGCCATCCAGTCCAACCCCCTGCCAAG